ACACACACACACACACACACACACACACACACACACACACACACACACACACCCCTCACAGATGCATCACTCTGGGGACTGCGAGGCATCATGGCGGTCAGTCTCCTCAGTCAGGCAGTCGTGGGTTCAAGTTGTGACTGCCATCCCTCTCTGGGACCCTGGATACTTGCCTCTAGCTGTGACTGCCTTGGTTTCTTTCTTCACCCGTTCTTACAGATTGTCCTAATGATCAGTGTAGACAGCAGAGCCTGGTGTATGTGGCTGGTTCTCAGGACATGGAGCCTGTGCTGAGGAACCACAGCTGTGGAGAGGCTGTCACACCAACTCGAGGCTCGCCCGTTTCTCCAGCCCCCGAGGCCGACGGTGGTCCACCACTCTCCCCTCACCAAGGCTCTAACCTCACTGGCCTCCTTCTAGTCCCTCAAGCTCTTCCCTCTACCTGGAACGCTGCCCCCTCTCTTTCACGGCGGGATCTTTCCCAACCGTCAGGTCGCGACCTAAAGACCAGCCGTCCTTGTTAGTACAGTGGTGAATATTCCCGCCTGTCAACCTAAAGGCCACCTCTTCAGAGAGGCTGCTCTTGATCACCCGTCTAGGCCGAGTCCCGCAGCCCGTCGATTTCTCTTGCGGCATCTGCTCTTTTCCCACCACATCACACGTCGTACTCGCTTGTTTGCTTGTTCGCTGTCCGCCTCCCTCCTAGACTGTGGGCTCCATGGGGCGAGGACCACGTGCGTCTCGTTCTCCTTTGAGCCCTCAATGCTTGGCACCGACCATACATGTCTGTCAATCGAGTGAATGAATGGATGGAGAAGACCACCTTCTCCTGGACAAATCTGGGTAGAGCTGCACAAATGAACCTTCTCTCTGCGAGCAACAGGAACCACACTGACCCTCCATCACGAGACTGCGATGAACTTTCCATTTGTGATTCAGTGGGTACCGCCGTGACCAGCCACACAGCCCACCGCCGACTGTGGCTGTTACTGTTCCTAACTAGAGCGTCTTACACAAGCTCCCCACACGTTCATCAGGTTCAGAAACATCTCTCAGGTCCGACCCACAATGGGACGATGTCTCTGGTAACTAACCGAATAGTCAGTTCACAGCAGCAAGTATTGACTGGGTCCCTCCTGGGAGAGGCCGCATGGTGGTGATGGGGGCGGGGGTGCAGCTTCAGAGCCAGAGGACTGGGTCTGAGTTCCCTCCACTCCCTATGACCTTGTGATTTCAGGCAAGTTATTTAACCTCTCTGAGCCTCCACTTCTCCATCTGGGTAAACTGGGATAGTAATGCCCACTTCATGGAGTTGCTCTGAGAAGTAAATGAGCTGCAGAAACCCACCAGCGCCACGCCCAGAACCAAATCACACTCGGCGAAAGTTCATGCCTCCACCGGCCCGGAGGCTCCCTCAGTCAGGAGGAAACTCGTGACCTCACGGTCAGCGTACCAGGGCTCCAAACCCCTTTGCTCAGGTTCAAACCCCTGCTGAGAATCTGCAGCCCAGGCAATGCTAATGCTGCTGGTAAGGGACCAATTCTGAGAACCACTAATACAGCAACCAATCCAAAACCCACTGCCGTCAAATCGGTTCGGACTCATAGTGACCCTATAGACAGAGTAGAACTGACCTATAGGGTTTCCAAGGAGCGACTGGTGGGTTCGAACTGTCGACCTTTTGGTTAGCAGCCGAGCTCTTAACCACTGCGCCACCACCAGGACTCCACTAGTAAGAACAGTGGTTCTCAAAATGTATTATACATAAGAATCATCTAGGGATCTTGTTCAGCTGTAGATTCTGATTCAGTACATCTGGGGTGGAAATACAATTCTCAGCAGGGTTTCAAACCGGTCCATGGAAACAAGCACTGTGAGGCTTAGCAAGACTCAGTGTGGTCATGTGCTCACTGAGGCAAACCCAAAACCAAACCCACTTCCACTGAGTGGATTCCAACTTATAACGACCCTACAGGACAGAGTAGAACCACCCCACAGGGTTTCCAAGGAGCAGCTGGGGGATTTGAACTGCCGACCTTTTGGTTAGCAGGCAAGCTCTTAACCACTGCACCACCAGGACACCATTCACTGGGGCAAGCCCTTGGGTTTTCCATGCTCTTTGAAGGACAGGATCGTGCCTGTCTTGCAACCTGCTGATTCCCCAGTATCCAGAATGAAACCCACCTGGTCCATCAAATACGTTTGTTAAAGCGATGGATGCGCAAATGAATGAAGTCTGTAAAACTAGCATAACTTGACTGGCAATGATTACATTTAACACTCAGCACCAACAGCAATAACACACGTACCTCGCAGTTTTCTGCGTTAAACCTGTGGCGCCCAACAATTTCCGGGGTGATCTCCATTACATCAAAATAAAAACCTGAGACAAGGCCAGGAAGAGATCAGCTGTCAGTGGTCCGACAGAACATCAACTTCTCAACAGTCTTAGGAAACAGCACCATGAAAGGACCCCACGTCCCGGTGTCCCCTGGCCCCCAGTGGCCCCCAGACCTTGGAATACTCTCAGTTCTTCTTTCCAACAGGACAGAGGGGACTGGAAAGGCCCGGGCTAGCTTTTCTTTGTGAAAAGCCTTCCTGCTCTCAGCTGGCAGCCCAGGTCAGAAAGCAGCAGCCCAACACCCAAGAACACCAGCCAGGCTTTGACCAAGGGGCCCATCCCTCCCCTGCTCAGGAGGCCACCAGGGACGCTGGGCACTTTTCCCAGCAGAATGTCGTGTCTGGGGCAGAAAGCTGTGCATGGGGCTGCACTGGGTAGACCAGGTGTTGTGGCTGCCATCTCTGATGCCGTCACCGGGGCTTCAAGGGGGACAGAAGGCACAGCTGTGGACTGACACATGCTCGGTGCAGAGACGGCAGCCAAGGGCATCCTCAGGGCCCCACCTGCATCCACACCATGGGGTCCCACACCAACTTGTAAGGCCTGTGAAGCAGATGTGCAGACAGACAGGGCCCTCCTCACTCCCCACCTGTGAGAGCCCAGGCCCTGCCCCTCCACGGGCAGCTGCTACCCCTCGCAGGCCGGGCATCACCAAGCAGCCTACCCAGGTTTCCGCCGTTCCCCATCTCCGTGGCCTGCAGGGCCTTCGAGAACTCGCTCCAGGAGCAGGAAGCGGACTCATCTCGGATCCTCTCTCTCATCAGGGAACCATTTTTAAAGCTGCAGAAACACACGCACGAGCTCGGGGGGAGGGACTCAGTGCTTGCTGACAGAACCACACAGGTCGTTGAAGAGTCCCAGGCAGAGAGCTGCAGGTCAGGCTGGACCACCAGCCAGCACACACGGGCAGCCTGAGCCACCCTCCCTCAGGTATTAGGCCCGCACAGGCCCCTGGGAGACGCACCTGTCTCCGGTTCTGTATATACAGGAGGCTGCCACAAAGGAGCCCCAGGCAGAGACAGGTCGCTGAGGTTTCTGTACATTGTATCATCTGTACGCAGGGCGGGACTGATTAGATTTACAAAGTCCCGGGCAGTGCAAATGGTTAAAGCACTTGGCTGCTAACTAGAAGGCTGGAGGTTCCAGTCCACCCAGAGGCACCTCAGAAGAAAGGCCTGGCAATCTACTTCTGAAAAATCAGCCACTGAAAACCATACGGAGCACAGTTCTACTCCGACACACATGGGATCGCCATGAGTCAGAGCCGCCTCAATGGCAACGGGTGGTGGCGGGCGGTGTGGACACGTTCTCCAGTGGTTTTGGGGGGCTCAGAAGGTTGAGAAACCTTCTCCCTCGGTGGCTTCTGACAGGTGTTCAAGGCCTGCGGTCCGACCACAGGGCAGGCCCCTTCTGTGAGAGCCACCACGAAGCAGGCATCCTTACACCACTTAGGAAGCATCTGCATTACAGCCGGGAGCGTCAGACGCTACAACACGTGAAGTAAACGCTTGGACTCTCCCTGCTTTACAACGAGGAAGTGGGGCTCAGAGGTGTCATGGGGCTTGCTCCAGGCCACACGAGACATAGGTGGTGGGTCAGGATTTGAGCCCAGGACTGGAGGACACCCTGTCCTGGGATCTTCCCCACCCACTCTGCTGTCGGCTGGAACCAATGGGTGCCTGGGTCTGAGCGCCCACAGGAGCCTGCTTAGTGGAAAGACTAGGGGGGCTCACGATGGCCCGGGTCTGCCCACGCCTCCTTCCTCCCCACCTCAGGTGGGGCGCCAACACCCAAGCCTACCACAGGAGGGCCATGTAGTGCTGGGGATCAACCGGGTTGCAGAAGATGTGGCCTTCCAGGGAGGGCATGGGCTCCTGGAGCCAGAGAAACAGGGTGTCGCTGGTGCCCAGGCTGACCTGGGGAGAGACAGGCAGGGGGGAGGCGCGTTGGGCTCCACCCGGCCTGTGTGTGCACGCCCAGGGGCCCTCTGCAGGGATGCCCTCTGTGCTCAGCACCCGGACCCCCGCACTCCACGCCTCACACTGCAGTCCTTCGGTTCAACGCCACTTCCTCTGGAAGCTTCTTCTGACTCTCTCACACCAGACCACACAGTCAGCCCTCAGTCAGCCCGTGAGCTGGCTTTCCAGAACCTCCAACTAAATGATGCTTCGGGTGACGACTGGTTCCCCAAACTTTCCCACCAGGCCCTGGAGGGCACAGGTCACGGCTTCCTTGTTTATCCGGGCAGCTCGCAGCCTCTGCCCGACCAATGGCTCTTCTGCCACTGTGCCTGTAAGCCTGGCCACTTAGCAAAGGGCAATCACTTTCTAAGAAAGGAGATGTGGGCAGGGCAGGTCCTGCGTCTCCCCAGCCCCTCCCTCAGCTGCCTTTTGGGGTTGGCAGACCCTCTGCTAAGCGGCAAAGATGCCGCTAAAACCCAGCCCCTTGTCCCCCAGGGCAGAAGGAGCTGGCTCTGCCCGTGGACATAAGAAGAAGCCACCTTACCACAATGTCACCTTCCTCCAGCCGCATGCCTGCCAGAGATGCTAAGGATGGGAGGGGAGCCTCTGGTGAGCTGGAGGTCACAAAGGAGTCACAAAGCAAACCACACCACCACTCCCATCCAGCCCACCCGCCCAGGGAGGAGAAGGGCTCAGGGGCCGGAAGGCAGGGCCTCTGTGCCAGGTCATGTTTACTGTCTGTCCCTCACTGAGACATGAGGCCCAAAACAGGGACGCCTTGGAAGAAAGGCCTGGCTATCTACTTCTGAAAAACCAGCCCTGAAAACCCTGGGGAGCACAGTTCTGCCACGACACACATTGGGTCTCCATGAGTTGGAACTGACTTTACAGCAGCTGTTTAGTTATTATGATTATACCTGAATGTTAACAAAGACCTTCAGCTCTATTTCTAGACACACAGCTGCACTCCCAGACATCTGTGTCTCTTTCTTTACATTTGTCTTTGTCCATTTCCTTCTCGTCTGTACAACCACTAGGAGGTACGCACAGGAAGGCTAATAAATGGGCAAGGACACTCCCGGACCCCCTGCTAACTCAGAACTGCAGCCACTCCCAAAGCCCACCGTTCAGCCAAAGATTAGACAACCCTATAAAACAAGCAATAACACATGTGAGGAACGTGCCTCTTAGTTCAATCAAATACACTAGTCCAGGTGGGCAACACCTGCCTGAGCAAAGACGAGAAAGCAGAAAGGGGCAGGAAAACTGGACGGATGGACACGGGGAACCCGGGGTGGAAAGGGGGAGAGAGCTGACACATTGCAGGGATGGCAACCAATGTCACAAAACAATCCATGTATAAATTTTTGAAATGAAAAACTAATTTGCTCTGTCAACTTTTACCTAAAACACAATAAAATAAAAAACGGGTATGGAGACCAGGAGGACGTCAGGAAAAGACTGCAATGAGATTTTTTAAAGAGGGGGAAACGGAAGAGTGACCCACACTCCTCGACGCCGAGAGACGCAGGGGTGGTCCTAAGAAGGGCAGCCAGGCTCCCTCACCATGCAGCCCCGGGACCCCGTGGCTGCGTCCTGTGATCTTGTCACGGACCTGCGCCACCTTTCACCACGCAAACACCTCCCTGGAGCAGGAACAGCTGCTCAGGAAGGTGGGTAAAATACAGGACACCCAGTTAAATCTGCCTTTCAGATAAACAATATTTGGGACGTACCAAAAAAAACAGACAAACCCGTTGCCATCAAGTTGATTCTGACTCATAGTGACCCTATAGGACAGAGTGGAACTGCCCCATAGGGTTTCCAAGGAGCGGCTGGTGGATTTGAACTGCAGTCCTTCTGGTGAGCAGCTGAGCTCTTAACCGCTGCGCCATCAGGGCTCCACCTGCGAAATACTTACACTAAAAAACTATTTGTCATTTCTCTGAAATTAAAATTTAGCTGGGTGTCCCATATTTTATTTACTAAACCTAGCCACCCTAATTTGGTGGTTTATTAAGTCAAGAGTGGCCCACTCTGGTCATTCTTCAGCTGGTCCCTCAAGGAGTGGGTCTCAGGGCCCGTGGAGGAAAGCAGAAGAGGACAGGAGGCTGGAGGAGGCAAAGGATCCAGGACTACAAGGAAATGTGGACGAGGAACAAGTCGTACCTAGAGCTCAAACGACGGGGCGGAGACGCAAAACCACGTAATGGGAAGGCTGGAGGAACCCGGATGCTTAGATTGGAACAGAACAGGCGAGATGGGGGAAGGGTGGGCATGGTTCCCTAGTTTAATCCCCTGATCAGCTTTCACCTGGAGGGGGCAGATGGATGTACCTAGTGGCTCCTGAGGGCAGAGTAAGGGCCAAGGTGGGGGCAGGTACAAGGAGTCACCTTTCAGGCCAGGAACAGGCTGCCAGGGAGAGAGGGGGCCCCACCACGGAGGGTGTCACCAAGAGGCCAGACTAGCTTTCTCAAATGTCCAGCTTGACCCCAGTCAGGCTACCTGGAGAGTGAAGTACCCCAGGTACTCACCTGGGTTGTCCCCCGTGAAGGCCACCACTTTGCATCCTGGGTGAAATCCATAGCGCTGGACGTAGTAGGAAGAAATGGTGCCCTGTGGAAAGCAACAACACGTAACCATACACAGCACGCGGCCCCACGCTCCACACGTAACCACGCCCGGCACGCGGCCCCACGCTCCACACGTAACCACGCCCGGCACGCGGCCCCACGCTCCACAC